CCCCAAAACCCCAAAACCCCAAAACCCCAAAACCCCAGAAGGTAATATTTAAATTGTAATTATTAAAAATTTGCCTGGAAGAGTAAATAAAATGGCAGCAACTCAAGAGAAAAAGGATGTAACTCCTCAGTCTCCAATGGAAGGTGAAGAAGTTAACTGTAAGTGCTGTTCCTTACTTTTGCACATAAATATTTTTGTCCATCTCTTGATAAAACTTGTTTGTTTATTATTTGTATTATTTAATATTATGCCAAAAAGGGAAATTTTAACTCAATTTAGCAGAGATCTGAGGCTATAAAGTACTCAAGCCTATTGGCCAAGGAAAATTCTCAATCGTATTTAAAGCTGAGAAGCTTGAAACTGGAGCAAAGGTTGCTCTTAAATGAATTAAAATATTCGATATGACTGATGTAAAACAGAGGAAAAAGTGATTAAAAGAAGTCAAATTACTACAATCTTTGGATCATCCGAATATTATTCAATATCTAGACTCCTTTATCGAGAACAATGAACTGTACATTGTCGTAGAATGGGCTGAGAAAGGAGACCTCAAGTATATAGTCAAGAGAGCCTTAAAGGAAGATTCGCACCTTGATGAGAATCGAATCTGGGAATATATTTCACAAATGGCAGAAGCACTTGCACATATGCATTCGAAGAGAATCATGCATCGAGATTTAAAGCCAGCAAATATTTTTATTGATGCAGAAGGAAAATTAAAACTGGGAGATTTGGGACTTGGAAGAGAAATGAGCTCACAAACTTTTGAGGCCTATTCAAGAGTTGGTACACCATTGTATATGAGTCCTGAAGTATTAGAAGGCAGTGGATATGACACTAAAAGTGATGTCTGGAGTTTAGGATGAATAGCATACGAATTATGAGCATTGAAATCTCCTTTTAGAAAGGAAGGAGTAAAGATGTCTCTTGTAGATCTTTTTCAAAGCATTAAAGCAGGGGTGTACTCCCCAATTCCGGACAGATATTCATCAAACTTGAAATTATTAATCGACTCTATGATTAAAATAAATCCTGCGGAGAGGCTTGATATTGACCAGATTTGAAAGATATGTGAAACTCATAGAACTACTGAGAGTACTAAGCCGAAAATCCAGTCATATTTAATAATGGATGACATTATTGACAAGTTAAAGCTGCTTGATTATGAGAATCAGTTTCCTCTAAAGCCCATATCTCGCATTTTCTTTTCACATTACGAAGAAGAAAGAGGGTTTGATAAATGCGAATACTTATATGAGCTCTGATATTGGCTGATGTCATGTTCTAGTGAGAAAAAGATAGGCAAGTACATCTCATTTAAGTCTAATAAGACAAAACAGGAAGCTGTGAAGAGACTTGTCTCGGACTGAAAGAAGTTTGGCATAAAATCATCTAGATATTTTGACACGGCCCAACTTCTTCAGGGTTATGGAGAAGCTGTCTGATATCTTATCAATGATTTACTCAATAGAGAACTTATCAGAAGGGATTATAAATTTAACCAGCCTATTATTAGTAATGAAGATGATGGTCACTTCTCGGATATTGAAGAGGAGAAAGAGCAGGATAATGTCATCCAACTCGATTACGGAATGGAGAATGGGCATGCCTCCAAACATAATAATAAGATCGTCAAGAAAAATAGTGAATACTCTGTAGAAAATGGAATGATTACCCAGACCAACTTTGGGTTAAATTATAACAAGACCTCATTTGGTGTTGAAAACCACATAGAAGAACCATATGCTCTTGATGAATTCAATGAGAGCATGATTGAATGAGAAATTGATCCAAATGAATGGCGGAAAGAAGTCAATAGAGTAGAGAAAGACCTCCTGAAATTTTATTCCAAAGCTGACACTGAGGAAACAGATCCTCTTAATGATTGTCTTAAGCAAGCTCAGAAAACAAAATGTATAATTACTCCTGAGTTCCGGTATTCTCTTGATACAGTAATTGATGAAATGACCAAAGATTTGGATCGAATTACTAATGAGGAAAAGAGACTTAATAAAAGCAACTTTGGAGATGTCAGTAAGAAAGAATTCGTTCTTTTTTGTAATAAGTTATATAGAAAAGCTATCTGAGCTTGGAAACATTAATCACTCAAACTTTGATGAATTATGAGCATTAAGGGATGCCATGAAGAACAAAATAGCATATTTCGATGAGCTTACCTCAAAATGGGAAGCAGCTAATGAGAAATACGAAGAAGCGTCTAAAAAGTTAACTAACAGAGATCAAATTACAAAAGCAGAAAAAGCTCTGAGAGATATTAAGCTCCAAGTCCATAAGCTAGACCAAAGAATTGGAATAATAAAATCTATTATTCCATCTAAAGAAAAGAAGGACGGAAATAAGGATAAATCCTCTCATTATTTATATGAAGATCTTTCAGAGATGAGTCTTGAAAAATCAACTTAATTAATGCTAATAGTTTCAATGCTTTTTGATTACTTCGGGGTTTTGGGGTTTTGGGGTTTTGGGGTTTTGGGG